GATTTGTGCGAGGTATCGGCTGAGATTTGTGGAGTACAATTCAAAAAACAACTATAGGTTTAATAATGAATTATTGTGATGTTAAATAGACAATGTTAGCTATCAAAGAGCGACCAATGTTAGCTATCAAGGAGCGACGTTGCTTTTCATTAGGACCTTCGTCCCTTCAAGGCTGGGCCTAGCCTATACCATCCTAGCTAGTCTAGGCCTGAAGTAGGATAAGGCTAGCGTGACATGCGGACGTTGGTACGTGTTGGTTAGTCTACAGATGTCGCCTAAAGTAATTGATTTTACCCGGCAGAACGAAAGAAGGAAACTCCGCTTTTCAGTCGTCTTAGGCCCTTGTTTTTTGACAAACAATGACCTTTCAGAGGTCAAATTGCTGTCAAGAATATGAATTGGCTGCTTCGCAGCAATAAAATTAAAGTTCTGAAACAGTAAAAGAATATTTGAAATCTGACATTTTGTTGTTACACAGCAGTTTAAACATCTTGTTTGAAGTACAGTATTTGAGAAATCAGCCTATTTTCACGATTTCAGTGATTTCTCAGGCAGAGACCCTTAAGAAAATTATTGTTTTTTGTAACTACAATAAACTAAAATGTCCCCTGTTGAATGTGTTGAATTGACCATATATGACACACTCCAATCCTTAATAGCACAGGTGGGCAAAGTGCGGTCCGACAATGATTTTTTTTCACCCTGCGAAAACGAATTAAAAATCCTATATGTGCAGCCCACCAACATCTTTGGCTAGAAAACACCTTGTTTTTTACGCCCCGACACCGACCATCTCTAAACATTAGTATTTAAACTGAGAATAAAATGGCATAAGAGCAGTGCATAAAGGTTTTTGAAAGCACACTGCAAACATCAAAGTTCTGGTGTGGCCCTCTGTGTTAATTCAAAAATTCACTTTGGTCAACAGACCAATTTTTATGCCCATCCTTACTTAATAGGGTTATCCTCGATCTTAATAGGCGATATTTATTTAATGGAAAAGTGTCCCCTTAAAGCCAGGCTTCAGAGAAAAAAAACATTTTAATATGTTGTACAACTGACTTTCCTATAAAGACAAGAAAATGGTGGTTGATGAAAAACTTGAATGGTATTTAGATACATATTTGTTGTGAATGGTATTAGAATACATGGTATTAGATACATATTTTTGATACTTCAAAACTGGAGGGAAAAGGACATAACCACCATTTTCACAACTTCTTCTCCAGCTTTTAAGTATTCGAAAAATTGTATCTCATTACCTGTTTTCCTCTGGAGACTGGCTTTAACGTAATGCATGTATATAGTTGGATTTATATAGCACATAAAGCACTGGGTATGGTCTAGCTTGTAGTACAGTAACTTCAATATTTCGACATTACTTATGTCATCATCAGGATCAGAAATTCCTGATGATGATGTAATTCAATTAAAGTTGAAATACTGAATCCCAATAAGATGGCGTGATAGGCCTATTGTATTTTAACCAAGGACTATACTTTCGTAAGATAGGCCGTCCCCTGAATAGGGGTGTCCCAAAAGAGGGGTTCTATACTGTAACAAAAAATGGGTTTAATTAAGATCATCCGGCAATATTTTATAAGAAATCAGAAACAAATGTCTGTCAGCCTTTTTCTTTTATTCGTTTTGTCCTTGCTCCTCACCCATGTCATGTATGTACTGATCTGCCTTCTTTCTTTTTTTCTTTTTTTTTTGGCCAAACCCATGAGAGGAGGTCTATTAGTATTATGTGCTCTACTCTTGAAAGTTTTTTATATGTTCAGCACAGGGTTTCAGACAGCCTAGGTCTCCCACACATCGCACTGTCGTACCCGATCAATACTACTTCTACTGTACATTCTAACCGCACAAATTAATGAAAGCTCGTAGGCACACAAATGCATTAGCAGCGCCTCAGCCTGACCTAACCCTTTGTTGGAAGAGGCTAAGCCTAGCCGTATAACGATTAAAATCGTTTGAATCTAACAGTACTTTATGAACTGTAAAATGTACGTACTGTAGCCTTGTTAATCATACTATACATACTCACCTTTTTACTGTGCAGAGCCAGTTTTAGCGGCTCAAAATTTATCCTAAAAATCAGTCTCACTAAAGTAACCATATATGCGTGGAGATGGAAATCACCTTCTTATAATAGTAATGACGATTGGGGATTCCCCGCAGTCCATGTGGGATCGCGGACGAGCGTGGAGATTTAGAGAATATATACTTGATCCTATCCTACTAACAAATACTTTTATTTTCAATAATTTTCTGGGCGTGAGGTCCACAGTCGAAGCCCCTGTAGGGTTGGCGAAACCCCCAAAGCAAGAGGATTTTTGTGTTTCATGGGTCTAAATAATGCTATAAAAGCAGACAGGTTATGTTTGAAAATGTCTGTGTCTGGGTGGGTCTGCAGTGCATTAGTTGGGTTGGAGGACATATTCAGAAAATTCAAGGTGGGGGAGGGGGTGGTTTGCCAGAAAAGAGGAAGTTTGCTAGAAAAAGGAGGGTTCTCCCAAACCATAACCCCCCCCCCCCCCCCCGCCCCGGACCATGATAGTAGAAAGATAAAATGTTGTTAGTAGGAAGATAGCAAAACGGAAATAAAAAAATACTTGCCTGTGATAAACCGATTGACGAACTAATTATATTAATATATGTAGGGCCTAGGCATATTAAATTTTGCGTTTTCGCAACTCCTTCAGCGCTCCATATATTTGTTCGAAATAAACCGCGACCGAAACGAAGCGCAACCGAAATGATCGGCTACCAAAAGCGTAGGCCTAGCACTGCAGTACTCTATAGCATAGCCTAACCTTACAATTAGATGGGTTGGCATTGGCATTATCAGATTGGAAGTGCATCATTTGTTACAAGGTAAATCCTCATCACCAGCTCTTGCCTCACATGTAATGGAGTGTTGCCGCACTGAATTTTGGATTTTAGTGCCAAATTTGATCATTTACATGTTTTACCCCAAAATTGTATTTTGAAGCTAGCTTAGCCTACCTAGGCTTAGTCTGTCTCCGAAAGATTCAATTGCAATATGTTTGGTATCATACAAAAGCTTTTAAAAATATCTGTCGAATAATGTATATGATGACACATTATATTAATGTTGTGACCAAAAAATTGCCAAAAACACATTTTTATGTTCATTCATGAACATTTTTATGACTTTTGACAAAATTCAATAATACATGTTTTATTAACTAAATACAAACAACATGAAAAGGACTGTTTCCAGTCTGAATTTTGGATTTTAGTGCCAAATTTGACAAAAAATTGTTTTTACCCAAAAATGGAATTTTGAAGCATTTAGCCTAAACAATTTGGCCTAAAAAATCATAGAATTTACTATTTTTTGGAGCAAGTTAATTTCAGAATTTAGCAATATTGAATTTGTTAAAATATTTGGACCAAAATAAAAAATGCATGACAATGACATTGATGAAGATTTTGCCTGATGATACAGGACTACAAATTATGTTTTATAAAAAAAAAATTTTTTAATTCTTTTCAGTTAGACCAAGGAAATAAGATGGCTGCCACTTGTAGGATTGTTTCGTTGCGATATTCTTCAGTATCCAAATCAAGGCTATTTGTATCACAGATGACAAATCATTATATTAAGAACAGTTCCCTAAAACAACACTATAAATTTATGTCAAATGACAATTTGCTAGATACAAAAATAACATCATCTGATACTGCAGAAAGTCTTTTGCACATTGTTCAAGAAAACAAACTATCAGGTAATCAAGCATCACTGTCATTAACGAAGATGACACAGCTCCTGAATGTCACACGGGTTGACCATTTCACAAGAGATCAAAGTTTTCAAAAGCTATGTACACAGATAGCAAGAGAAAAATACAATATATCTACTGAAAGCTTAGTTCTTTCCCTTATAAATGTATGTCGGATACAAACAGAGCCATTTAGCCCGTTGATTTTGATCCTCGAACCAGAGTGCAGAAGGCGTCTTCGTGCGATGCAGATTCGCCACCTTATTTTCCTCATCGCGAACCACAGTGTTCTGCTGGCAATAAAATCTGACAGCGTGAACAAATTGGTAAAGGAAGCTGCGGCAGTGTTGGAATTTCGCCTCAAGGATGTATTTGAAGTTAAAAATCTGACCCAACTGTTAATGCATTCTTCAGCAGTATCACAAAGTCTGCCTAAACAATTACAAAATCACATGATCTCGCTAATGGATTATTTTAGCTTCACTGATTTAACCCAATTCTGCAAGTCCATGTTAGCCGGACATTTTCCAACAGGAATCTTACTAAGGACGATGTCAATTAAAATGGCAGCTAGCACAGAGGAGTGGACAGTTGAAAAGATCCTAGATGTCTTGAAATGTTTTTCAGGAATGGGTTTTAATAACAGAAATTTGATGATTGCTTTTAGTAGTTTTCTACAGACTGAAATAAAAAACCGCTCTCTTACTGATGTTTTAGACATAGCACAAGTATATTCCTCGCTGAGAGTTGCCAGCACTGAGCTATTTGCCGAAGTCGAAAAGTACGTAGGGAAGAAAATTGAAAGTGTTACGTTCCGGGACTTGCGTAGTATATTGCATGCGTTCTTTGTGTTGCGATATGTTGCAAGTGATGAGTTTGCTGAAGCAGTTACTAACCAGCTGTTGTCTGAATGGTTAAATTTAAAACCATACTTACAGTTGGAGCTGACCTGGTGCATGATGGGGTTGGATATATTACCACTATTCCTCTTGGAGAAAGTTCTTCGACTTAATACAGGTATGGTTTTTGGAAGCTCCTTGTTCTGTAAGGCATTTAAAGCTTGTAAAAGCAGGTCCAAAAACTCACAAAAATTCAAATAAGTTTAGTCTTTGGAGCAAGTTAATTTCAGAATTGATTTTTATGTGTTTTTCATCTTTTTCCAGGGATAACACACTTTATACAATTTAATTATTGAATTTTATATTTCAAGTTTATAAACTCTACATAAAGATTTTAGCTAGATTTTTATACCAGCATGTTAGTAGCAATGATTTGCTGTGGGATTGGAATAAATAAATAGTTTATCTTGAACAGTAGATAAAAAAAATCATCTAATTGGTTATAATAAAATAATTCTGAAAATATTTCTCTAGTATAAGTGTTCAGTAGCATTTTTGAGTGTGCTCTAATTTTGTATTTTACTGAATGAAATTTGTATTTCTTTACTTTACAGATGATTTTAATCCAGTACTTGCCACTAAGCATCAGCACCTCATTAACTATGCAGGGACAGAAACTTCCACCACTGATTTGAGTCACTTAAAGAGTGCAGTGAACAAGGATGTAAAACTACGTCCTCTACAAGAATCTGTGAAGATCGTTCTTGAGAATGTAGTTGGAGAAAAAAATTTATCAACAAATGTCTTAACCCCTATAGGTCATTCAATAGGTAAAAAACTTTGTGCAGTAAATTCACAATCAATAGTTGAATTTTATATTCATTATTGAACTGGCGGTGCTACAGGAGGGCCTAGAACTGCAGTTAATTTCTAAGATACACTAGCTTAAGGAGTATTTTCTCCCAGAAATCTACAGTGGGACACTGGTCTTTCCCAGGTTGTTGGCCGAGATTATTATTATAATACCGTAGTTGTTTAGTTGTCAAGGATGTTGCTCTCTGTTGTCACTGTTGAACTCAATCATTAAATGTTGGATGAGTTGTAGTATTTAGTGTCTAACCTTCTACCTTTAAGTTCAAATTTCTCTGTTGTCATGTAAATTGTTTACATGGAATTCTTTTCATTGTATTTCTTTTTACTTTGTTTATCTTCTAACTGTAGAATTTCAGTTATTACTTGATTCTCAGAGGAGACCCATAGATGTCCAAAGTGATGAACACAAAGTCCACACAAGGTAAAAACATTGTTTGGTCTACAGTTAAACTTGCCTAAGTAGACTTTGCCTGGATTGGATTTATTCGGCTCCAACTTCAATAATTTGCAAGTTTTTTTTACATGCCAAATTGTTGTGTTTTCCATTAATTAACAATCTGTAAGCCAAATTTTATCCAAGTCAAACAATTTTTCAATGCCATTTTGGATTCGACTTGGGCAAGTTCAACTGTACTAACTGTACATAAAGATTAAAAGCCTGATGCCTCTTTTTATCAAAATGTTTTGAACAATTTTGTTTATAAAGTTGTAAAATAATTAATTTTATATAAAAATTCAAGTAAAAATAATACAAACTCTTTTTCTTGTTTCCATTTGAGAGAACTGTACACTGTTAATATCTGATGTATACAATATTAACAGTGTTTCCGGTGGCTCTACTTTAATGGAAGACTTTTGTTTGTCATTGTTATTTCAAATTATTAAATTTCACACTGTACTGCAATTTTCTAATTTGATGACTGTGTTCCAAGTATCCAATACAATTAGTGGCAATATTTGTGTTTCACATTACCTTCTTTATTTTCTTCACTTTCAGCAGAGCAGTTTTTAACTTTGCATACTCTTTCATTTCGATTGTTTTTTACAATGCATATGCCTTAGCATTTAGTCAGAATTTTATGTTGTCAGAATGTGTCAGGGTTCGAATTTCCTCAAAATGCTCCATCAGTAAATAGCTGCTGTGGCTTGTGGCTTTACTACAGCAAATTTTCTACAGCAACAAGCTTTGTAAATTGTTTTATGAATACCGTACCTATTCTATATTAAATGTAATTGTATAATCCATTGCTAGGCCTGGATCAGGCAACTCAGCAGCAAAAAGCTTGCTGTCGAGCCTGGGATTTACAACAGCAGTGGAAGAGGCCCTTTCTACAGCAACTGCTGTCGGTGCTGTGGAGAAATTCAAACCTGTTTACCTGTTGTACTTTGAGTAATACTGTTCCTACTTTTAGCCTGCAATTTTCTATTGTATTTTTCAGTTTGTTTTTAAATCTTTTGCATTGCTGTATTTATATATTACAATTTGAATTGTAATTTTATTTTGATGAAAATGTAATAATGCATTGTGTTTTCTATTACAATTATTATTTTCTATTTTTCAAATAATTTAGTTTTGGAATTCACAGTATAAAATGTTATTAACTTTTAATATTTATTAATGAAGCATTTTTATATAAGTACAGCATATTTCATTTAATATAACTACTGTATAGATATTTTGGTATTGGATGGCAATGGATATGATATAGTTTCTTAGTTCACCTTTGTACCTGCAATTGTTTATTCTTGTATGTTTTGTATTGAAAGTGAAACATGAACAACTCTTTTGTTTTTGTTCTCTGATGGCTGCAAAAGTATTTTGATTTTTGACAACCTGATCATACTTGCTTTGAATTGAATATTATTGTTAAAAGTGTCTGCCTTAATTTTATATCATGATATACACTCTGAATATTCATAGAAACCGTATTGATTTTGATACAGTATTTCATTTTAAATTTCAACAGGTGTTTAAATAGAGAATGAAAAATACCTAATCAATATGGCATCAGTGAAGTTATTTTGACTATGCTGTACATGATTTTATTATTTTATTAGTTCTGAGGACCCTATAGAAAACAGGATAAAGAGGCCATTATTTCCCAGAATAAACTGCCTAAAGCCTTGTCTGGGACGGTCTAGGCTTCATTAGTGTCGACCAGCAGCGTAGAGCGATATTTGTTAGATTCGCTGTGTGCATTTATTAGCATCTGTTTCATTTGATCTGAATGCTTGTTCTGACAGGTTGGCCATTCTGGTTCATGGACCGACAAGTTACTTGTATGCCAGTGAAAGGTTTGTGGGACCAGTCGTTTTGAGGAGGAAACAGTTAAAAGCTGCTGGGTACAAATTAACTGAGGTGATGCATATATACTACAATTTGTTTTTTTTATTTAATTTAAATTTATACCTGTACACTAGAAATTCTCAATTATACTATAGGTATTATTTTTATTGTATAATGTACCTAGTGGTTAAGATGCTTGCTTTCTAAGCCCAGGGTCCTGGGTTCAATTCCTGTGAGAGCAAGACTTTTTCTGAGGACTGGGGACTAAATACAAATCCACTCATAAAGAGACTTCACAGATAAATGCATCACATTATGCAATTTATTTAAGAGGGCCCTGAATATCAGCCAACCATCTAGGATACACTGGAAGAGTCACCCAAATGAAACAGTTATGATTAAATTTTTTTTATCAGTAACTCTTATTTTCTTTTTCCCTAAAGGTTGGTTATCGTGAATGGAATGCTATGCAATCAGAAGATGAAAAGAAACAGTTTATTCGAAAGAAGCTTGAAAATGTTAGCAAATACCAAATAAGTATTCAAACCTAAACCTCCATAAGGCGAAAAAAAACTCATCTTTGTGTTTCCCATGCCTTAGTGACCCAAAAATCTTGAAAGTCAAGGGAAAGTGATTTTTTACAATATTTTTTTTTTTTTTTTATCAAAAAGCCCACAGTACTTGTTTAAAATATGTTTTAAACTCTTATTAATGAATTTGATACAGTAACAAGACCACACCCTGCTCTCTTATTATAATTGAGTTCATATGACAGATGTTTAGTCATTATCAAACATTGTCTTAGCCAAAAATTACAGATATTGTATTGAATCAAATAAATGCTGCCATGGGGATTCTCCACTGTTGCATGTATACTATACACTTCGATTTAGGAGGATTGTTGATATTCATTGATTTATTAAACATATTTAACTTAATTTTTTTGCATTCTTTACAATATTTTTTTTTTTTATCAAAAAGCCCACAGTACTTGTTTAAAATATGTTTTAAACTCTTTCTAATGAATTTGATACAGTAACAAGACCACACCCTGCTCTCTTATTATAATTGAGTTCATATGACAGATGTTTAGTCATTATCAAACATTGTCTTAGCCAAAAATTATAGATATTTTATTGAATCAAATAAATGCTGCCATGGGGATTCTCCACTGTTGTTGATATTCATTGGAATATTTTCATGATTTATTAAACATATTTAACTTAATTTTTATGCATTGTATTAACTTGAAAAGTCTAAAACAAGGCAGGGTTGCAACTACTATTGCCTTAACATCGGCGTTTGTTCAATTCGCTCATCACCCAGTGCTTGGTTCTTAGAACCAAGTCTTCTTGGATAAGGGCTTTTGGATTAGTAGCTTTGGAATACCAACTTAGATAGCGATTTAGTACACTTTTTTGGAATCCTTTTTCCCACTGCACTGTACCTAAAAAATAAATGACATGAAAAAGGAATACTGTTGTTTTGAGTGACTATGTGTTTGTTGATGTTTGGCGCTCACCAAACAAGCTATGCCTACTAGAAACTAGAAGGTTAGATGCTACCTAGCATCTGTTAACAGCGACTCAGTCTAGAATTTTCATCATAGATTAATGACCAACACCCTGAACTAATTCTGCAAGGGCCATGAATGATTGTTAATTTTATTAACCAAAAAAAATGAAAAATACCAGCCTGAGAGGTGATCAACATGAAAATGTGGATTTTTTTTGCTGGGTTGTGAAATGGGGGTTTGGTGATTAAGTATTGTCATCATAGATTAATGACCCACACCCTGAAGTAATTCTGCAAGGGCCATTAGTGATTGTTAATTTTATTAACCAAAACAAAGA